CTTCACTATCTAAAATATCAGGGTATAGTTGATCATACTGGCATTTTAAAAATATCTCAAGTGAAGGTTCTGTCATACGTTGGAGAACTTCCATGTTGCAGGTGTGGACTTGTTTTCCCTGCTTAACTGCTTCTTCTTCAATCATCAGGAAAATCTTGTTCACCAAAAAGTTAGATAACAGGGAATCAGAAAGCTTGTGTGATGCAGGAAGTAGGCGAATGATGTCTGTCGGATCCCATTCTTTTACTCTTTCACTTACGCTAATCTGTACGCCTGCGAATGCTGTCTCTTGTGCGCGTTTTCTCTCCTCTTCAGTTAGGGATACATACATGTTTGGACGTACAGCATTTCCATCTATCCTGGTTTTGAACAATCCTGGTTTGGCGCTTCGAGAATCTATCGGTACATAGTAATCGGGTGGGACCATTACTTTTATTGTGATATCTTCTTGCTCTTTATCAGTTGATGAACTTGTCGGTAGTTTTGTGACTTTAGTAATTACTACATCGTTGGTCGAATTGTCGTCACATACAGGCATCTTCAATGGAGATGATGAAGGATTAGGAATTGTTGATATTTTAATTTTGGGAGCTGGACTCATGGAGGTCGTTTTAGAGCTTGAAACTGCGGTTCTTTCAGCTCTTGAATGCACTTGTGCAGGTGTTGACGATGACATAGATCTGTTAAAAGTTTATGTGAGTGATGAAGAGTGAAGTGGTTCTTCTTTTGTGAACTCTGCAGTTATTGGCGTGTCTGAAGAAAAGCTGTCTGGCGCAGGGCCAACAGATGTCGACAAAGAGAGTGGATTTTCATCTCTACGAGGTATCTGTGAAGGAGCAGCCTTGCGTTTCTTGGATAAAGACAAAGAGAGCCTTTCGGCAGAGCTGCTGGAAGTACCCCTTGCAACTGCTTTCAAGTGTTAATATTTAATACGGGTTCTTTATCCTTTCTACATGTAGGTACTGGTTTTGTAAGCACGACGTTTGCACTGGTGTGGCCTTGTTGCTCCTTTTTCTCGTAAAAAAGCATGTATGCATTCTGGTGATATGCGGCTAACTGTGATGTTTCTTTAACAACGGTATCACTTGTATAAAACCATCTCCCGCTTCTGTTGACATAGCAAACATAATGCCCGGACGATATTTGGTTTCCTTCATGTACAATTATTGAAGAAAGGGTGTATTCGGCTGTCGATGTTGCACTTCTGCCATCTTTCAAATCGCGTTGATACTCAGGTATGGTTAGTTCGGGTGGATAATCTATTTCCTTGTTTATTTTTTGGCCATTTGCGTCAAAGCGCAATAACTGAATGCATAATATCTGTGGTGGATTCCGCACTAAAGTTCTTTTCCAGGCATCAGTTCCTTTACCACACCTTAATAATAACCAAAACGTGTATGTGGTACAAATTTATGTGTTAGTACTTTACGTTAATTTAACGCTGTACACTCTAAAAATGATGGAAAGTTGGCTTTAGTAGTAATATAATTGTTTTAACGCTCTAAGTGTTCCCCATTACACTCTCCATTTTAAGGTGGCCTACTGTTTTTCGGCAAGAGGAAAATATGATTTAGGGTGGAATTTTTGAACAATTGTGACTTGTTAAAATGCAAATAGTAGTGAGTTGTGAAATTTACTATCCGAGAGCAGAAATTTTTACCAAAAATGACTCCACTTCCGTTGCTATGGTAACCATCACGTCTCAATATGGCCGATTTTCTGACATTAATTAAACTAATTTAACTTGAAAAAAAACGGTGGGTGTCTACACTGGCAATTTTTTTAAAAGTTAATAATTACTTTCGCTATTATACGTCATGGTTAGGCCACATAAAATAAATTCCTTGATTCTCATCACCGCCCGACTGTATTTTAAGAGCCGCGTGAAATTTTTTTATATTTTGTTATACAATATAAATGTACCGCCCGACAAAATATTTTATATTCTATATTGGGTTTTTTATATTTTATATTGGGTTTTTAGTGCCATTTTAAACTGCCAATTTCAAACAAATAGAACCTTGAAAGAAATTTCATTGCATTTTAACGGAACTTCGCATTCAGTTCAAGGGCCAGTCATTGTTCGTGGAGGAATATGTTTATTTCAGTTTGTGACACTTTTATTTATTGATATATATTAAATTATATAAATATAAAATATAAACCTCCCGCCTCTTCGACATTTTCAAAGTGTAGTGATGAGAATCAAGGAATTTATTTTATGTGGCCTTACCATAGCAATGGAAATGACGTCATTTTTGGTTAAAAATATTATACTCTTCAGATAGTAATTTATAGGACTTAATATTATTTGCTTTTCACAATTGTTCAAAAATTCCACCCCAAATCATCAATTTTCCTCTTGCCGAAAACAGCAGGGAGCCACCTTAACTACAACAACAAATCACGTGCCCCTCCAGACCTATAACCTATTTGAATAGTGACACAAAATACCTGTGACGTCACAGTGCAGGGCATAATAACTGTATTTGCACATGCTTAATACTGGTGGCATCACAGTATATGTACTAACTGTACCTTTCACAGTTGTAGGGCTGTTCCAATTGAACTGGTGCAGAGTATTGGTCCAACAAATCTTGTAAAGGTAATCCCTGGTAAATTGTGGTTAAAAGAACAAATGAGTTTCCAGTTATTGAATAATGTTCAATTGAGTTTTGTTTATTAATGTAATAAAATGTGTCCACGTGTGCATTTACCTATTATGCTGTTCAAACCATTTTATCTACCGTAACATTAAGGAAAAATTGCTGGTGGTAAATACTCAAGAACTGAGAGGTCATTTTAAAATGCACTAAATTATTTTGTTACTTTTTAACACTAAACACAGTCCTTTTCTGAACTCCAAGGTGGCTAATTTACACATCCAAATAATCTCACACTACCTCACAAAGAAATTATGAATGCTTGCATGGATCTAGCACTGACAATGACTTTCTATTTCTTTGGGTATATATATACCTTTGTTATAGATAATGGAAGCACTGTCTCAGTGGCACAGTTACTTGTAGTATTGTCACACTCGCTGCATAAAATTTCACTCCTGAGTGAGAAGCAAAATGAATTCAGAAATTCAAGGCTACAATATCGTGGTATAAGATCCGTTGATTGCAGATGAGCTTTTTCCTCCAAAATCCTCCAAAATGATTGGAAAAATTCGGCTGAACATTGCTGTGAACCTTTGACAAAACCACTCATAATTTGGGGCAAGCAAGAAAGCAGTGCTGCTGGTCGAACAACTTGTGGTGCTCCATTGTACAGTTTGAAGACATTCATTGTACTGCATATTATACATTTTGTTCCTGAATGAATATCAAATGAATACCAGATATCATTACAAAATATTACTATTACCATGTATTTTTGTCATTCTCATCTTAAATCTTTTTTACAAATATAATGTGAACAATGTAGATTACCATTACTATCATAAAATAGTAATTATGTTATGTATATTTATTGGTTCAATTTTCTCTGCTCGTATTAGATATGGGGGAGCCTATCCCACTGTTCGTCAGCAGAGAAGAATTTGTAATTCTTCCAAATCTTTATATTAGAAACTGTTGGAGAGGGGGGATTTTGCCACAAATCAACAATCTTATAATTCTTATCTCACCACCCCCCCCCTCCCCTGGTATTTATATGGTCCTTGCTATGCACCTGCTCGTTAAGGCCAAACCACCCTATTTTGTTATTTTTGTCGATGTTACCCAGTGAATGTCATTCGCTACTGTTCTGAAACGAATTTATAACTTGATCAAGTAGAGCAGAAATCAATTCAAAGTAGCTAAAATTACGACGACTTATACGCAAGACATATAACGATTGTTGAACAGATTAATATGAACTTTGTGCCGGATTACTATATAGGTGTTTATGATTTTTTTTTGTCGGATTACTAGGTGTTTTACGCATTGTAATTTAATAAGGTTTCGTCACAACATTTTAGTTACTTGCCAGCTGGCCATATCCTGCTGCGTTCTTGACTTTAGTTCGAACGCATAATATGAAGAATTTCAGTTAAATATTCATCCGAGCATTTGATCGCTTACACGCGTTTCGCCCTAACAGAAATTACTTTAGCAAAAGCAGTATCTGAGCGAAAAATGGAAATTTAGAGCATTTTTCGACCCACGAGTTTTACACACGACATTTTACCCACCATACACACAACCAAAACTCAAACTCATTAACGCAGTGACGGGGATTCCAACAGTTCCTGAAGACGATCGACGATAATTGCATTACAGTATTTGCTGCCGAGCGTAGCGAGGCAGCTCCCTATTCTTGACGTTACATGACGTTCTTGCTTTTTCGTGCCCAGTCCCCGGCCGAGTTATATTGGGGAAACATACTCAATCCATGTCAGTCCGTCGGATGTGAGATTTTGCTTTTTCGTGCCCAGTCCCCGGCCGAGTTATATTGGGAAACATACTCAATCCATGTCAGTCCGTCGGATGTGAAGATTTTTCGCAACTAATTGTCGTCAGCGCTCGAGCATTCGACGACTCTTTGTTTTCACTATTCGATTTTGATTTGTATTGCGCTCGCATGATTCTTCTCAGGATTACAGTTTAGTACGAGCTTATTTACATGCAGTATGTTGATTTTAACGATGCAAAAGATCGACAATATTTTCAATAATTCAGGTAATTCGATTTCAGTTTAATACCTTGTTATTTACATGCAGTATGTTGGATTTTCACGATGCAAACGATCGACAATATTTTGAATATTTCCGGTAAGGATAGCTTTATTTCTTTCTGAATTCTGGTGATATACATGAAGACATTTATATTTAGATTTGCTGTTTAGTGTTCGATATAGAGGCATTGAAACAAATATGATTTCATGAATTTGCAGTTCTAATAAGCCCACTGATTGTCTTATATTATACAAGGACTTGTAATATTCCCTGGTGCTGTAGAGAGTGTTGTGGAGTCATGGTGCACTCAAATGTGTCTATGGCTTTGTGTATACAGTAGTGTGAGTAGATACAGGTTTATACAATCATTGTGTAATGTGCTTCACTGTTGTTTTATATCCACGACGAACATTTATTGTACGTATGGTTCTCATTAGTAACAACCGGTGTCTCATATTACATCACAAAGCTTTTTGCGCGGATTATATTTCGCACATTACTAAAATTCGCGCAACCCAGCGCTGCGCGAATTCTAGTACTGCCCAAATTTTTATATAAGTAAGGTATATGAAATTGTAGCAACAAGTCATGTGATGCAAGTTTTTAATGATTTATATCCAGGTTTATTAGCATAGCATGACCAGTTGCCGTGGCTAGCTTGCCACTGAATACTGTACAAAGACATATTGCCATATATATCAACAATGATATCATAATACGTGAATAAATCATTGGACATGTAGAGTTTAGTTTAATAATTGCTAGCTTCACCATTAACAGTATAATTATACATACAAAAGCAAGAAGTTATAAGCATTGAAGGGATTCATATAAAACCCCCCATACCAAGAAAGTAGGATTAAAATCTTAGCTGAACTTCGACTTTGTGCAAGGTGTTTGATATTCAAATTGCACTTTTCGGTCTTTTCCTGCATCCTGAACAGGCGTATTATATTAGCAATCTCGTACCCAGAGTATGCCCGTTCGCAAGTTTGGTCATGCCCAGCCAGTGTGCCCAGCACCTAACCTGCGAACGGGCATACTCTGGGCTGTTTACATGATGGAAGTTGGGATGATTTTGATGTATTGAAATAAGTCACTAGAATAAACAAAAGTTCAAATGCTGGCTAACCGAACTCAAATGTTGTAGAGAAAATCATGTAGTTCAAGATTTTTATAGCTTTTTGAACAACCTTTCGTTTACAGTTGACTATAATCCATCTCTAGAAAATAAAGTTTTTCACAAAATCATCGCGCCTTATATCTCGTCCTGGAAAAGCGGTTTAAGCGAGATCCGTATAAATAGCCATTATTCAGCAAATTGCGTATGCTCCCTGTCTTTGATCCCTTGGGGGTGAGGCAGCACTTTCCTTGCGATAGTAACTTCTAGTTTATCTGTAATGTAATTTATCGTCGCTCGTCTAAAAGCCATCGGCTTATACACGAGGGGACCTTATATTCCGAATGGCCTGAGCGTTGTTAGTGAATATGGTGGGCTTATGAACGGGAGGCTTCTATTCGATGGGGATTTTATTCCGAGGTTAATACGGTAGATAGGGAGACGTCAACTCAGATCGGAGAATGTTAATCTGAGTGTATATCCAAACCGGGAAAGCTTGAAAAATATCATCCAAAAGTCGTACGTATAGGATATCCCGGTGTGGATATACACTCAGAGTAACATCACGAGCATCATATTCACATGAGTACATTCCACCAACACAGGAAAAAAAAAGAACATAGTCATATAGGCCTAACCAGGAAAATTTCTTTAATTAACTACATAAAACGCAAATAAAACTTCGACATTCGAACAATGACTAATTAACTACTTAAAACGCAAATAAAATAATTAACTACATAAAACGCAAATAAAACTTCGACATTCGAACAATTCATTGCATGCCAATCTGGCAATCTACACTGCATGTGTATAGCTGTACTCGTGACAAATATTATCATGTAACCTACCTGAACCTCTTCATTGAAAATGTATACAGTCGCATCGATATCGTCGACTTTCTTAACATTTCCGTCCATTTCAAGTCCTGGATCATTATCCGGGTCATCCACAAAATCGCCATTGACATCGATTCTCTTGAAATTTGGTTGTCTTCCAATAATTAGCGATCCGTGTAGCCTTGTTGCATCTGGGGATTGCGAAAACTCCTTCAACTTGTCCATGATATACGTCGATAGTTGTATTTCGTTGATGCCTTGCCAGATAACACCACCTTTCTCGGCAAAGGTGCGATTAATGGCTGCTTTAAAGGTTTTTACGGACTCCATTTCAGAGACAGTTACGTAGCACTCCCTATTTATAATGAAATGCTAACAATTATAACATGAAATCAGAACACGAACAAATGATGTCATTATATCTCTGCGCGTTAAATGTGATGACCTAACGAATGATATATAGACAAATAAAATATCACTTACATGGCAACTCCATCAACTCGTTGCACAAGCAATATATATCCGTTATATTTTCTTATTTCGCTGGCTGGAAATTTAACGAAGGCCTCAATACGGAAAAAAAAGTTGGCCGAACATATGTATTTGTTTTTCCCAACTTTTTTATGAATCGCAGGGCATCCACTTGCATCCTGGCGTACGGATAGTCCTTTGATTGGCGACACGGGTGTTTTTGCCATCCTCTCCGGCTGTAAAAAGATAAGTGCATATATAGGTAAGCACATGTGACAGGCTAATATTAAGCCACATGCTTCAATGAGGTTTTGTTAAAAAGATGCAAATAATACTTGCAAATTTATCAAAACAGGCAGAAAATGTGAACAAGGTTTGCAAAAGGTGATCGTTGGCTTGTATGCGAGAGGTATCTCGATTGACTGGTACGACAGTAGTGGAAAACAAGTGGCTTTTGTCGGACTCTTTCTTTTCGCAAGCCGCAAAAGACCAAAGTCTGTCATTGTCGCCTTTATTTTCATTCGCCGTCATGTTTGAATCCAGAAAAACATCCTGTTTTGTCACAATCACACCTTTCCTAGCCTAGGGTGTAGACCACGAAACGTGTTTCTGCTGGGGTCTACACCGTAGGCTACAGTCTTGCATGCGTGCAAAGATTTACGTCCGTAGCTATATAGTAACTACCCAAAACGTCGCAGGCAAAGCCAAAGGCTTTTATCGGGAAAGTTATCAATGATATATAATAGTGTATAATCGGGAACCTTCATTGACGCCGTTCGCAAACTATTATAGAATTTTATAAGACATATCAAGTTCACAAGGTGTCAAAGAGAGAGCAGCGTAACGTAACAATAGGGCCGGAAACTTCATCTGACATCTCATTGGGCTTAATCATAACCTATAATTGGCGCACCTGGGCGGCAAACGAAAAGCGGAAAAATGAAAATCCAGCTTCGTTTATACTTCCTCCCCTTAAAAGATGTTTCTATTCACCTTCTTATTAGGGCGCTCCCTCTGGGAGGGGGGGGGGGGGGAGTTTATTATTATTATTATCATTATTATTATCATTATTATTTTTATAACAGCCCATCAATTGTATCTGGTGACACATTCCGCCCAGACCTACTTATTATTATATCTATCAACTCGGATTGTCTTTATATTCTTGAACTTTCTGTTGGTTATGCGTCTAATCTCCAAAACAAATGTTGATCGGAAAAGCAGAAGATACAACGATCTCATTACACAGCAAAAGAAACAATTTAACTCTGTAAAATGTTTAAATTTGTCAATTAGTTCTTTAGGCGTTTTCTCAAAGGAATGTGATTCCTTTTTAAATATGTTGATTGATAAAAGATACCAATCTAGGTCTTGATAAAAGATACCAATATTTCGCTATCAGGAAAATTATGTCTATCTCGATTAGGACAAGATATTATATATTTTGTTGCAGAGATAAGGACTGGTCAAATCCGGAATTACTGAACATTTAAGGATACTCATTATTAATATCTATATATTAAGTAGGTTCAAGTAGTCAATTATAGATTTATAATTGTATATACACGTATATAATTTCAATAAAGTTTCCATTATTATTATTATTATTATTATCATTATTATCATTATCATCATTATTATTATTATTATCATTATTATTGCCATAACTACCAGTAGAACTGATACTAAATTAAGAATACGTATTTTTAATAAAAAGAACAAACATTTTAATAAATGGCGCATGCCACTGTATGGACATTAGTGTGGCATGAGTCCCCATTGAGTGTGAATGAATGAAATTATTATTATTTTCATTACTATTATTATCATTATTATCATTATTATTATTATCATTATTATCATTATTATTATTATCATTATTATTATCATTATTTTATTATTTTTATTGTTATTATTTCATGGACATGGACATGCTTAATGATCTTGGCTTCGATAAAAACCACCAAAAATACTGCTTTAAACGAATGACAACGATTGCGATCAGAACAACTTACTATATATTTTGCTGCAGAAACAAAGAATGGACAAATCCGGAACTATTAACCTTTTAAAAATTGCTGCATTTGCAGGCAACTTTGTTCTACCCCCTTTGGCCCTTTGTTAGCTTTGTGTAGTACCACTGCTCTAGCTTGTTGCAAAATTTGCTATTGTATTCTATTCGGTTCCCATCCCTTTTTAATTTCGATTCCCAATTTTTATTTCTATAGGAAGTAGTAACAATAACAGTAACAAATTACTTTATTAGCATGACTTTACATACAAGTATTAGTTGGTAAAAATAGTTACTTATAATGCAAAACATTTTGTGGTAGTATGACATACTGTCCGTATCGAGTAGTGCAAGAAATACAAATAAAGTTATTGATATAAAAGAAGACTTACTTTACAGATGAGAGTACCCTATTTACAGCATATAATTAAAGAAGTTTGGGTTAGTTAAACAGCCTATGGACTGTCAACATTTATGGTTTGAAGGCATTTAGATCTCGTCTCAAAACAGAAAGAGACAAATTTTGATAATTTTATCAGTTTCATTATCAGCTAATTTCATTATCTCAACTGGTAAACTGTGTTCATTAGATCTGCTTTACATTCCAGGTAATTGAAAAAGTTTTCTCAAAAACTACTGTAGGAAGTTAGGAAGTGATGTTCCGTTTCAACTTCTCCTGACTGGCAGACCTTGCATACTCGGTCTTCTTGCAGAATAAACAAGAGATGGACATTTACTTTCCCCCAAAGTGTCTACCAGTGTTTACATTATATAAAGCAGATAAAGGCAATCATAGTTAATAAAAATAAACATCGTTAGGGAGATTGGTAAACTTCAAGTAGTTTCCTAACCAAACTTCAATTGATGTTGAAAACTTGAAATGTACCTGAAAAAGTACACAATTTGTTGATCAATATTAAAATCTTACAGTTGAAGTCTGAGATTTGTATTGGGTAATTGCTTCATTATACAGAACAAAATGTTCACTCACTGTGAAAGTGCACAAATTTTTATAAAGGCGGACAAAAACATAGAACTTACAATACCTTTTGTCCAGCTTCCAAATCATGTTTGCTTTTAGGCTGCTAATTATGATGCAGCTATTGCTTTTATATGGTACTATGGTTATTTAACAATTCTTAAATCTTATTTGTCCTCTTTGCAAGTGAGCCTTTATTTAATATAAATTATACAGGATTTGTGTCGACAACTCGCAGACATTTTTTCCACTTTTCTTTGCGGTCCCAGAAAATAAAATCCAAATTTTCCACCCCTGCCCTAGGTAGACAGACGTTATAGTCCTATATAGAAACATCGGGATTGCAAGCCCACAATTGCAATATTTGAGCAATCCTGGAGCAATCTCGTATGGAAGACCTAGCTGTCTTACTTAGGGGGGTGGGGGGGGAATAGGGGTATGCAAATCCGTCCAAATTTGAAGCAAAATCCGCGATCCGACAATGGTCATGTCTAAATTTGAAACTGCTAAAAGTTCTACTATGAAGTCACAATCCAGCATCCGAACTAAATTGCAAACTAAATCCACAATCCGAACCAAAATATTAGATAAATCCACAATCCGCTGTACTAATAAGATCCGCAAATCCGTGTAAAATATTCGCCTGATCCGAAATCCGAACAATTTTTTCTGCGAAATCTGACGATCCGAAGACCTATTTACCCCCCTCTCTAAGCAAATGTAATGTATTGTTAGACAGACAATTTGTATAAATATATAATAATAATGGAAACTTTATTGAAATTATATACACGTATATATACAATTATAAATCTCACTAATTTAGTTAAGTAAGTTAGTATATAAGGTTTTTATGAGTTGGAAGTGAGTTATTGATGTAACGGATGGTGAAATTATAGATGTTCTTTGGGAGGTTTGATTGGGATTTAAACCATATGCCATTTAATCTCGACAGCGAAAACTTAATGACATTTGAAAAGAAGGAGCCTTGCAAAATCAGATGATTCTGCAGTTTGTCTTCATGTCCGGAGGTAAAACTTTTAAGGACTTCCTTTGTCGAGGTGTAGACGTCGTACTGAATGTTTTTATTTTCAGATGTTATAATAATAATAATATCTATTAATATATATTCAACTTCAGTAGCTATATTCTCACTATGCCGGAAAATATTTTTCTCAACCATGCATACATTTATAAAAAATTATTAAAATCATGCATCAGCAATTTTAATCTAGACTAAATTGGGGGAGTGCCATTTTCAGCATGGGGCTATTTTATTGTCTTTGGTGATTTTAAATAATAATGAAAATATTAAGTACATGCTTTGCACTGGTTAGAATTTATTCAAACCCCACAATTTCGACCTTAGTCATTTCGCCCTTCCCCTGCCAGCACGCCACAGCCCTTGAAGTTAAGACAATTCATATAAAGCAAAGTTTATGATATGCTTATAGTTTGAAAATTATCCTATAGTATAAGATAATGTTAAGTTATATGAGTTATAGCATGGATAATGTTAAGTTATAGGTATGGACATTCTTTATTTTAATCAACAGAGTATATAACCGACTCGTCAAATATATACCACACCCATATAAACAGAGATAAAGCGATGGTAAAAGTGGGTTCAACACAATACACTGCCTTAATTTAATGCTAGTATCAGTTCACTCTGGTCAGCTCATGCGCGGGGCGAGTCGAGTTCACCGAGAAATATCGCAGGGCACTCGGAGAAATTTTGGACCGCGCCGACCTATGTCGTCATAATTCCGTTACTGAATCCCCAGGTAGTGAAAATCACTTTCAAATAACGTGATGAATACCCGTAAACAGAGGCAACCTGACAAACTACTTTTTATACTATTACCTATATAAAAGTAAATATCACTGGTTGCTGCATGCAGTTGAAATTGCATATGAAACCACAAAGAGGATGATGTATTTTTAACAAAAGACAAACTATACTGAAATGTACTGCACGACGGTACGATAGAACTATTCTTTCTATATTTTGCAATTTATATAGTACGATAGAACGGCACTATATTTTTATATTTCATGATTTCTATGGTACGATAGTATAGAATAGTACGATAGAACGGCACTACATTTCTATATTTCATGATTTCTATATGGTACGATAGTACGATAGAACGGCACTATATTTCTATGTTTCATGATTTCTATGGTACGATAGTACGATAGAACGGCACTATTCTTTCTATATTTCATGATTTCTATGGTACGATAGTACGATAGAACGGCACTATATTTCTATATTTCATTGATTTCTATGGTACGATAGTACGATAGAACGGCACTATATTTCTATATTCCATGATTTCTATGGTACGATAGTACGATAGAACGGCACTATATTTCTATATTTCATGATTTCTATGGTACGATAGTACGATAGAACGGCACTATATTTCTATATTTCATGATTTCTATGGTACGATAGTACGATAGAACGGCACTATATTTCTATATTCCATGATTTCTATGGTACGATAGTACGATAGAACGGCACTATTCTTTCTATATTTCATGATTTCTATGGTACGATAGTACGATAGAACGGCACTATTCTTTCTATATTTCATTTCTATGTTTGTTTGTAGTTAATGTTTGTCAAACATGCAATAATTATTACTTATAAAACATGAAATATGCTAAATTATAAAATTAAACAAAAAACAAACAGTAATGGTAGGATGGTACGCGTACCATACGAAAACTTTTTGAACCTCTGTCCTATTTTAGGCATTATATATTTTGGCAGATTATGGTGTAAAAACAAGACACTATGCGGAGCTAGTCTGCTGCGCTTTTTTAGTGGAAATGTTCCCAGCTTCACTTCGCTTGAGACGAAAGAAGGCACAGGTTTGGCAACAAAATGTGAAAATCTATTCGCTTGTATTCAGTATTTTAGCATGTGATCGGCAGCTGCAAAGAAGGTCTTATGGTCGATTATTTTCCGATTATCAGGCAATAATCGGCCGATTACCGATTATTTAAAAAACGGCCGATTAATCGGCTTTGCCGATTATTTACCGATTAATCGGCTCATCCCTAAACTGTAACTGTTACAGCACTGGGCCTCATATAAAGCTTATAATCTTATCAGTCGTATACAGCTATTTCAATTAAGGTTGTCCACGAGCAAAGCGGAAAATTCGAATACGAGCGCGAAAGGCTGCTGGGAATTGCTTTGAAAATTCATTAATTTGTTAATGATTCCCAGCAGCCTTCGCGCTCGTATTCGACTTTTCCGCTTTGCTCGTGGACAACCTTAATTGAAATAGCTGTATATAAAGCATTTTTTTGTGTAGCTTTTCAGCAAGGTTGCCGGTAGCGTATTCAGCAAAGGCGTTGCGTGCATGCAAAGTGAAACAAGGTCCGGTTTAGTTTTAGCTGTCGGTTTTGTGTTTTTCTCGATTTTTTTAACTCTCAAATAGTTTATTAGACATAAATTATTGGTTAGGGTTAGAGAAGGGGTTGGGGTCAGGTTTATCATAAATATTCCGACTGTGGGTCAATTTACAGAAGCCAGAGCTTTCCTGTCTACAGCCGCAAGTCCCATTATTAAATCATTGATGAATGATGAAACATTACTAACATAACCCCATCCTTCAAACACCATGAAGCTAACTATCATAGGTCTAACTACTCATAGGTTTGATTGTGAGGTATTAAATCGTTTATTTAGAACTTATGATAATATATTTAGAGGGAAACTTTCTTTTTGTGTTGTGTTTAAATATATATTTATAGCACAACAAACGGTGAAACGGCCAAACTACTCATGTACACTTTAATACCTGAAATTTCCAAGACTATTCCGTAAGTTCCATATAATTTGATAAGGACAGCTCTTCAAATACTGGCAAAAACATTTCAAGGCATCGCTTGAGTCCGAAAACACCGCAAAATTATCTCCATATATGAAGCAAAATCTCGAGCAAAATAACAAATTTCTTCCATTTTGTATTTTTGTTTTTGTGAAAATCCTGGTCAGCGTCCACTTGTTGTCGCGCCGCAATACTTGGTGTAACTAATTTAATTATTACGGCTGCAGGACCTGGTAAAAAGGTATGAAGTGATATTCCCTTCAAAATGCAACTGCGATTTTTGTTATGGAACATTGTATTTTGATACACTATTTTTCTATAACAAGGCTGTATTTTGGAACAGTGTATTATGCAAGCATGCTTGTATTCTGGAATATTGGAATGTGCTAGCTTGTATTTTGGAATATCAAATTGTGTAAGATGGCATTATGGAACACTATATTATGCAAGCTTGTATTATGGAACATTAAATTGTGAAAGCTTTTATATATTATGCAACATTAAATTGTGAAAGCTTGTATTATGCAAGCTTGTATTGTGAAACACGCGACGCGCGAGTCGAAACACGTGCTCGTTCGAACCGCGTGTTTATAACGGTCTTGAAATAAAAAATGGCTGATCAACAAACAAACAAACACTGGTCAGTCAAACTTTACACAAGTTGTCAGCTTGTTGAGACAAGCGGAATCTTTACTTTCAGGTGTATCTAATATAGTGATAACACAGTAGCTATAATAATACAAATGCATCATTAAGGCCACCTAACAGTTCAACCGTGACAGAGAATTCGAATGTGGATAGTGTGCCATCAGTCGCGACAACGTCGACAAGTTCTGATAGATCCTTAGCGAACTTTCACTCGCTTTTTTCCAGTTACCATCGTGGGTCATTTCGGCAAAATTCATCTCGTGCGTCTTCGGCTCCACCGCCAAAACGAAAACGAACACTTGTATGGTCTGATGTATGCCAGTGCTTGGCCTAATCCGGATGCCTCTCTCAAAAAGGGCACAGAGTAACCAGATGGTGGTAGAAGTATTACAACCAAATCTTTATTGCTAGCTCTGCTGCGAAGGATTTCGAAACCACCACAATTCTGAAGTTTGGGAAAATATTCTTCGAGTTTGGCCACAAAAGCAGATGCACTACCATCTTTTTTAAAAACTTTTTTTTTTCTTCCTAACCCAGCAAGCTGAAGGTCACATTTTTGTCCTCAAGTTGATTGATAGTTTTGATGGCGATCAGCGAAACAAAAGAATTCATGGATCCGCGTATCTTTGGGTACAAACTGAGAAAATGTTCGTTTTCGTTTCGGCGGTGGAGCCGAAGACGCACGAGATGAATTTTGCCGAAATGACCCACGATTGTAACTGGAAAAGAGCGAGCAAAAGTTCGCCAAGCATCTATCAGAACTTGTCGACGTTGTCGCGACTGATGGAACACTATCCACATTCGAATTCTCTGTCACGGTTGAACTGTTAGGTGGCCTTAATGATGCATTTGTATTATTAGCTACTGTGTTCACTATATTAGATACACCTGAAAGCAAAGATTCTGCTTGTCTCAACAAGCTGACAACTTGTGTAAAGTTTGACTGACCAGTGTTTGTTTGTTTGTTGATCAGCCATTTTTTATTTCAAGACCGTTATAAACACGCGGTTCGAACGAGCACGTGTTTCGTCTCGCGCGTCGCGTATTTCACAATACAAGCTTGCATAATACAAGCTTTCACAATTTAATGTTGCATAATATATAAAAGCTTTCACAATTTAATGTTCCATAATACAAGCTTGCATAATATAATGTTCCATAATGCCATCTTACGCAATTTAATCTTCCAAAATACAAGCTTGCACATTGCAGTATTCCAGAATACAAGCATGCTTGCATAATACAGTGTTCCAAACTACAGCCTTGTTATAGAAAAATAGTGTATCAAAATACAATGTTGCATAACAAAAATCGCAGTTGCATTTTGAAGGGAATATCACTTCATACATATCTACACTACATGCATACCTCACCTCGTTGATATTGGCCAGTTCTACAATAAGCCATGGGGGTTGACGAGCTAGACCACCTCTAAAATTTTTTTCCATCTCCCCCACTATTTTCACCAAAATCCGGCCTTGATTTGCATCTCTTTGCCTAGTTCTAAAATTAGTCTATAATGGGAATTGTCTATATTAATTTACATGAACATAAGAGACTTTTTATTTGGCTTCCATTTATGAATATTAAAGTCTATAAACATTGTTATTTGTTGTTAAGTTGCTTTGTGATACATTTTTAAAACTACTATTTTTTCAAACTGGTAAATCTTTTCAAAGCCCCCCTTCTTTCGTCTCTCTGTATTTTTTCAAAGCTCTCCCCCCTTTCAGGTTTTAAAAAATTTAAAGGCTCCCCAGTTTCTCCTCAATCCCCCCCCCCTGTACGATAAATAATGAGATGTCCCTTATAATAAAGTTTAAAAGGTTAACAGGGTGCATGGGCAGATAGACCGATTAACCCATTGAGTTGCAATGCCCTCCCCCTGACAAGTAAAATTGTCTGGCGTTAAACAGTCAGAGTAAAATAATAAAGTAGGGCGCAAAGGGTTAACCAATGATGGGCTTAGACACACAGGCCGGGGTTTATGTTCATGGGGGTTTATATTTGGAATAGCCAGATTATAATCGTTAGTAAATATTGTGGGATTATACACAGAGGGCTTATACTATCTGCCCATGCATTCTGTTAACCTTTTAAACTTTATTATTTTACTCTGTCTAACACCAGACAATTTTACTCGTCAGGGGGTGAGCATTGCCACTCAATGGGAATTAATCGGCATATCTGCCCATGCACCCTGTTAACTTTTAATTAAACTTAATTTATTATTTTTCTTTGTCTAATGCCACACAATTTTACTTGTCAGGGGGAGAGTGCTGCCACTCAATGGGTAAATCGGCCTATCTGCTCATGCACCCTGTTAGCCTTTTAAACTTTATTATATTTTTACTCTGTCTAACGCCAGGCAATTTTGCTGATCGTCAGGGGGAGAGCATTGACACTCAATGGGCAAATCCGCCTAAATCTGCCCATCCACGAAGCTGTTAACCTTCTAAACTATTATATAATTTTGCTCTGTCTAACGCCAGACAATTTTACTCGTCAGGGGGAGAGCATTGCCACTCAATGGGTTAATTGGCATATCTGCCCATGCACCCTGTTAACCTTTTAAACTTTATTATATTTTACTTTGTCTAACAGACAATTTTACTTGCCCGGGGGAGAGCATTGCCACTCAATGGGTAAATTTTATCGGCCTATCTGCCCATGCACCCTGTTAACCTTTTTAAAGTTTTAAAGTGACGCACAATCGGCTGTCGATCAGGTATCTGAATTGGTCAAAAAGGAACATGCTTCAACTTAACTGCAGGAAATGTAAAGAGCTACCTATTACTTTCAGTCGGTCTCGGAATTTGCCATCTCCAGTCAATGTTGAGGGGTCCACCATTATCCCAGTGAGCAAGGTAAAGCTACTCGGCGTAACGATTAACAGCACCCTTACGTGGAATGATCATATCGAGGAAATAGTAAAGAAAGCATCTCGCAAGCAGTATTTTCTTGTGCAGCTTAAGAAAGCGAAAGTCCCAGCAAGAGAAATAGTCGCCTATTACTGTGCATGTATCCGTTCTGCAATCGATTACGCATGCCCTAAATTCCACTACTCACTTCCAAAATATCTCCAAGAAGATCTGGAGAGGATCCAGAAAAGAGCACTAGCCTGCATTTACCCAGGAAGGCGTTACGAAGACGCCCTATCGCTCGCTGGCCTAGCAATGGCTAGCATCTATACATGATCAATGGTATAACAACCGGGAAACACAATGTAGAATTTTTATTTATTGAAATCCTGAACCATAATAGCCCTAATGTTATAGTCGGAATTATTTATCGACCACCCAATAGCAAATATGATGAATTTGAAAAAGCTTTACGTGAAATCCTATCGAAAGTAGATAGAGAAAATAAGCCTTGCTATCTAATGGGAGATTTTAACATTGATTTACTCAAGTATGAAAACTGTTCTTTTGCAAACAGATTCTTCAACCAACTAACATCCTCTGCGTTTCTCCCCCTTATAACTAAACCAACGAGATTAACTGAACATACAGCAACCTTAATTGACAATATATTTTGCAATCAAGTTAGCTATCAACAACAAATTAGTGGAATATTATTTAACGATCTATCGGATCACCTACCAGTATTCCAAATATGTCTAGATCATAACCAAAATCAAGTTGAAAACGGTGTTAAGCTAAGTAAAACTCGACCAATGCCTGATGCAGCACGAGAATCCTTTGTTAATGAATTAAATAATCAAACATGGTCATCTACACTATCAAAACCTGATGTTGAAAAATCTTATGAAGAGTTTCAAAAGTCCTTTCAAGGAATTTTTAACAAACATTTTCCAATAAAAGTGGTTAAATTAAAAGACAACATATGCCCTAAGAAACCGTGGATAACTAATGGACTAATAAAATCCACGAAAACGAAAACTAAATTATACAGGAAATTTCTATGCAAGCCAACAGAATTTAATAGAACGAAGTATAAAATATTCCGAAATAAATTAAACCATCTTATAAGAGTCTCCAAGAAAAGGCATTTTCAAAAACGGTTAAATGATGCCAAAGCTGATTTGAAAAGTACATGGAAAATACTAAATGAATTAATTTGCAAAAAAGGAGAGAGAAAACAGCTACCTTCTAGGTTTTCTCTAGAAGATGGCAGGGAAATAAACAATCCAAACACAATTGCGAATAGATTTAATGAATTTTTTGTTAATGTAGGACCAAATTTAGCTAAGAAGTTCGATCAGAATTCTAACAATTTCACCAAGCACCTACAAGGTGACTATCAAAAATCTATGTTTCTAAAAAGCACTTCAAACAAAGAAATTGAAGAAATAATTGCCTCTATGAAATCTAAAAGCAGCTGCGGAATCGATGGAATAAGTTCCAAACTTATTAAACACATTTCCCATATTATTTCAATACCACTGTGCCATGTTTTCAATCTATCCTTCACATGTGGTATTATACCTCGTGAGTTAAAAATGTCGCTAGTTACACCCATTTATAAGACTGGTGACAAAACCAAATTTACGAATTATAGACCTATCTCAGTCTTACCAAGTTTTGGAAAAATACTAGAAAAAATAATGTTTAAACGATTAACATCCTACATCACTAAACATGATATCCTCTATGACAAACAATACGGATTTCGGAATAAATACTCAACAAGTCTCGCAATGATTGATCTAGTTGACAAAATATCTACTGCAATAGAAAACGGGGAATATACTGTTGGTATCTTCTTAGATCTTTCTAAAGCATTTGACACCGTAAATCATAAAATTTTATTGACTAAACTTCATCATTATGGAATTAGAGGTATATGCAATGATTGGTTTGCAAACTACTTGACTGACAGAAAACAGATAGTTAAATATAATGTAACTTACTCAACTGAAAAAACGATCAAATGTGGAGTTCCTCAAGGAACAGTTTTGGGCCCATTACTTTTTCTTTTATATATCAATGATATACATTGCTCTAGTAATCTTTCGTTTATATTGTTTGCAGATGACACCAATTTATTTCGTTCAGGAAAAGACCTGAAACAACTTGAAATAGAAATAAATCATGAACTTATACTTGTGCAAACATGGCTTAAGGATAATCAGCTTACCTTAAATATTAAAAAGACTAACTACATTATATTCAAATCATTCAGGAAAAAACATAACGCAAATCTAACCTTTAAGATTAATGATAAAATTATACAAAATGTTAAAGAAACTAAATTCCTTGGTATTATAATTGATGAACACTTAACATGGAAAAGTCATATTGATTACATAACTAAGAAATTATTAAAAGTATCTAACATTCTTTGTAAAGTTCGTCACTACCTAAATAAAAAACATCTCATAACTCTATATCATACTCTTGTTTACCCACATTTATATTACGGTAATATACTATGGGCTAGCAACTATAAAACAAGATTAAAGTCAGTATCAACGATACAGAAAAAGATTCTGAAAATAATATCATTTTTGCCTTATACTTTCTCATCTTCAACCCTTTTTTCAACGCTAGAAATACTAAATATTAATAAGATAAATGCTTTTCAAGTTGGTTTGTTCACATTCGACGCAGTAAAAAATACACTACCACCTCAATTTGATTCACTTTGCATAAAAAACAATGTTATTCATTGCCATAATACCAGAGGCTCTATGAAATTACACAAACACTACAATAAAACAAACTATGGATTGTATTCCACAAAAAACAGATGCACAGTAGTGTGGAATATGTTGCCGGAATACATTAAAAATAGCGATAGTAAATACATATTTAAGTGCAATCTAAAATTATATCTTCTTTCTTCTGAAGATTATTAGTTGTACTCACAAAAAATGTAAATAAAAATAATTTTTAACTTTATAAAGTTAATTTGTATTAGTGGACCTCATATATCTTGAACCTGACATTATCTGACACTATTCTCCTTTGTTATATTAGTTTGTTTTTTAAATTTTTTAGGGTGGACTACTAGAAAAGCCCTGACGGGCTTGTTAGTCTTCCTTCCATATGAATTGTATCTTTATATTTTATCAAAACTGTAACTGTATAATGGAAAAAATAAAATATCTATCACCACGAATCTTTATCTAAATCACTTTTTAGGTCAATTGTAAGTGACTCTAAAAACAAACTGCATGCTCTACTACCGCAGAGAAATAACAATGCCAAATATTATTTTAGGAAACGTAGAACTTTTAATATTCCAACTGCAAAGACCAAACGCTATGCTCAGTCATTCATAATGCATAGTAGTAAGCTTTACGATGACATATAGTGAAATGGTGATTTCAATACTTGTATATAGTTAGTAGTTTAACTGTACATAATCGTAAATTAAGATAAATTTTAGTATTCTTATGTATTATTATATCTATATTGAACGACTTTTATATAATTGTAAAGTTACGCAATTCAGTAGTACCTGCAATGTAACTATCATTTAATAAAACTATCTATCTCTATCTCACTCAGAGTAACATCACACAAACATCTTATTCACCTGAGCACATTACACCAACACAGCAGATTTCATCTAAACCAGTGTTGATAACTTTCGTGAAAATATCTAGCTTGTCTTTACACGAGACAGTACGATACAAAGCAATACCAATATACCAATTATAATCAGTTAACCATTTTCCAAACGCTGTCTTGTTGGCATGTATATTACGTAGAATTTTCACTTCATTGGTCTCGTTTTTTATCAGCCGGATTTCTTTTAAGTGTACATAACACAGAGCTATGGTCGCTTAGTCCAATAGGAGAGGTTACCAATGCAGGGTTGCAAAAGGCAGACATATTCGTAAGAATTAGTGTCGCTGAAAGAATTCGTAATGTCTTAGTAACGCTGAAACAGGACATCTATTAAAGTCACCGACCAGGAAAATTCCTGCATTTGGGTACTTCATAAGGGCTAAATCGAGGCTTAAGGTAATGTGTTCGACTAGGGCATGATTATCGTTGGATGGTGGATGATAAATAACACATACTATCAGGCATGAAAAGCCTAGAGGAAGTTTATACGGTCTCAAATATAACCACAGGGTTTCAAAACATTCGTCTTGTAGTTCGGGTAATAATTTAAATGGAATAGATGATGTAATAAAGGCGCACACGCCTCCTCCTATCTTGTTAACTCTATCACGCCTGACAAGGGAGTAACCATCAATTTCGACAGCGCTGTCGTGGATGTTTTCACTCAGCCACGTTTCTGTAACAAAGGCCATGTTTATACAACTTGCTTTCAGAATAGTTTCTAACTCATCAATCTTAGGAAGAAGTGATCTTACATTAGATAGAATAAACAAAGGTTCACCACTTTGGGGAACACTGTTATGGGGCTCCTGATGAAACTTGGAACTATGCAGGTACATTGTATCCTGAGTGCTTATACTTTCAGATTTATCTGGGAACATTGATGTTCAGTTCAATATAAATTAGCTTATTAAAATTTGTTGCATTAGTTAATTGTTTGTCCATTTACTAATGTTTGTTGATGATTATATAGGTTTAGGGATAAGAAATCATCTAGTAATAAAACCTGAACCATTTCGTTTTGTCTTTCCATCTGATTTCTGAACGAAAAACCTGCTCACATGAAGATTTTACTTTTTTCCGCCTCAGACTAGTTTTTCGTCGATCTTTCTTCGACCTCTCTTCTAGTGATTCGAGTTGGAATGGGTTGGTTGTTAGCTATTCTACCCGGCTGTACCCAATTACTCTGCTGCGTATGTAGTTTAGGTGATGGATTCCCGTGGCCTTTGACCTTTGTCCTATATAAGCCGCTTTTTGAACGATGGAAATAGCTTGGGTTTTTTAATAATGAACAATTTTCTAGGGCTTTGTTACGCTTATTATCTGGACCAACAGATAATTCTTCAGTTTCTATTAATAATCTTTCATTGTTATCAACAGTGAAAACTTCGCATACAATAACGCTATTATTACCAAGACCCTCACCACTGAAAGAAGCATCTTCAAGCGGGTTTTCAACACTTACAAAACTTTCTGCCTCTTTTAATTCAGTCATATTATCCAGACATTGTAAAGAACTAGAGGCTCTCGTATTAGTTTCAAGGTCAACATGAGGCTCGAGTGTTTGATGTATGCATGTTTGATTTAACGACTCGGTGATTTTTGCTTCAAAACTACTTAATTGGCGTTTCATTTCTTCGTTTTCGGTTTGAAATCTCGCCAATAAACCTTTCGACCGTGCTAATACGGGAAGTGTTATCAAGAATAATCCTTTCATTGACCACTAGGTTAAGTTTTATACCCTCAAAATCCGTGGACAGTTCTTTACATTGACAATGGCATATTTGGCCGCCAATATTTGTCGTTTGGGTTAATTGCATTATTTGCGGCTTCCACAACATTGCAGTTTTTTCATGCATTCCGTTTCAACAGTAGATTCCACACGCAAACAAGAACAGTTATTGTTAATCGGATTCTCAACATCAACTGCGGCAGTGCAATGATCGTCGAATATATAAGTCATGTCGGTAAACAATGTTGTTAATCTACATCATACAATATCACTTGCCTTCTCGCCGGAGATTGCCAAATATTTTTTATTTTTCCACCAATTTATCACAATATTTCCCCCCTCTGAACTTAAAAGTCAAATTTTTGTTGAGCTTAAAATTTGTCAACCGCCATGATTGATGTACTGATATGTAAGAAAGTTGCATCTGCTATTGGTGCACTAAAGCGTGTTAGATCGTTTATAACTATAGACGCATCCATACAAATATACCAAGCGCTCATTCAGCCTCATTTCGACTATTGCTGCACGGTATGGGATGGCCTTGGGGAAACACTCAGTACTAAATTACAAAAATTGGAAAACCGAGCAGCGAGAGTCATCATGAGATCAAGTTATGATACCGACGCAAGTGTATTATTAGATAGTCTGCGTTGGGATAACTTGTCATTAAGACGACAAAAACTTAAACTTGGTCTTATGTTTAAAACACTTAAGAGTAATGCTCCCAGTTATTTACAAGAATTCTTTTCCATTCGCGGAACTGGGTATAACCTAAGAAATTCTGAAATGGGGCTGAACTTGCCTAAGCCACGAACAAATTACTTAAAACGAAGCTTTTGTTATAGTGGTGCACTCAATAGCCTTCCTCAAGAAATAAGAAAGCTTCAAACACAGGCTAAATTTTAAAAAGCTGTTAACAAGTATTTCGACGAATAAACGAGCGCCCACACGGCAATCTTGTAAACCAGTATTAGTATTAGTATTAGTTTATTGTCTTTCTTGTAACTACTGTAGATTTTACCGTGTTTAAATAAATTGTATAATAATAATAATTGATAAATAATAATAATATGATAATGAAGGCCTTGTTGTTAGTGTCTTTCAATACAATGTGTGCCCAGTGTTGTGGCGATAAACTGCTTCGTTGGAAAGAGAAAGCTTCAAATACAGAGGCCGTAAACAATTCTTTGGTGGAAAATGTTTGAAGACCGAATGGGCCATATGTTATTAAGTAGGAACGCCGTGGTTTTCTACTATGAATTTTGTCTATCGGCTCTGCGCGCTATTTTACTTAAAGATGCGGTACAGTCCGATCTGCGCATGTGCACAAAGGAGCCATCTTTTTATTTACAAACAGTTTATTTAGGTTTTTATTTCATTTTATGTTCTTGCAAAATTGTTGTCTCTTGATAATTTATTATACCCTTGAATCATGAAAATATAAATAGTTGTCGAATAAAATTCAATATTTTGGATACCGAAATGTAAACAAAGCCTTTGTTTATGACGGACTGTACCGCATCTTTTTTAACGATAAAATTACGATATGAACAATTCAAATTTCCCGCGCTAATATATATATGTTATTTACCGGATTGGAGGTCCGTATAGAGAAATATTTCTCGAGGTCTTAATAACGGCCCGAGGCCGAGGGACGTTTTTAAGACCGAGAGAAATATTTCTCTATACGGACCAATAATACCGGTAAATAATATTTTTATTTTTTTTAATTCCTCCTCTGGATTTCCCCAATCACTCCTCCCGCACGCGAATGAAGCTGCCAAATAAAACGTCGTTTCTATCAATGCTATCGGGAAGAGTAAATCTTTTGTGAGATAGTAAAGTTCGCTTTCACTGTGTTCTTCATCGTCTGCAGACATTTTAATATTTTAAAAAGTAGCCTTTAAACTCGTCTTTAAATTTTGAAAAATAAAAACATTGGCTCTACGGCTTTAAATCTCGCGCGGTCCGTACGGGCTCATACGGACCGCTCACGTAGCCAATCAGATTGCAGAAAAGCGTAAAATATGACTTCGGACCGCAAGAAAAAAAATAAAGTTAATTATTAACCTTAATATAAACCAACTTGAAGACCGTATTTTCCCGAATTAAAACGTGTAGACCGTCATTATAGCGATTAATCACTTTATGTGCTATTGATAGCTTTTTGACAAAATCTATTGAATGTAGCCAGGGCCGTAGCTAGCATGTATAGTTGGGGTGGGTAAGCCAAAAATTTCCGAATGACGAAAAAAATTTCCGAAGTATTTCATGGCGTACGAAGCCACGAAAGTGTTTGCTATCTGGAAAATGAAGATGCAACTTACAAACAAAAATACACGTATTGTACGCACAGACATATTACAGAAGCATGCAGTGCCGTAGGAAGCTCTTTTTTATTGGGGGTGGGAACGAAGGCCGAAGGCCCGAGAAAATTTTTAAATTTAGATTCTCTGAAATGCCATTTCCTGGACTTTGGGGGAAGTTTTTACAGAATTCTGATGGTCAGAAAACAGAGTTTTAGTATGATATTTGTGATGTTACTCTGAGTATGCATTCACACCGGGTGAAAAGTTTGTTTGGTCACGGTGGGGAGTCGAGCCCGCGACCTTTGGGATACTAGTCCAATGCTCTGCCAACTGAGCCACGTGGTCAACTCGGTTCGACTTCTTGATATTTCGGAACTGAATCTAGTTCCTTCGATATCAGTGTAATCTATGATATGATTTTTGTGTGTGTGTCGGTGTTATATACTCAGGTGAATATGATGTTTGTGATGTTACTCTAAGTGTGCATCCACACCGGGCAAGCTGAAAATTTGCTTGGCCACGGCGGAAATGAGGGAATCGAACCCGCGTCCTTTGGGATATTAGTCCAATGCTCTGTCATATGCAACTGAGCTACGTGGTCAAGTCGGTTCGAGTTGTTAATAGAGTTTTAGTATGTCGAAATCTGTTACAATTTGCTTACAATTTAGTAGTACTAAATGGGCGAAGGTGTATTTAATTAGCTTTACACTGGAGAAGTTGCAGGAAAGAGTAAGGGTAATATGATTCTTTTCGGGTTGTCATGGATAATGTAGCCGCTTAAAATTAATCAATTGTCAGTATTTTAAAAGTGTATTATTTCAATGATAAAGGTGTGCATGATTTTGAAAACGTGAGAAAGTGATTATCAGTGAAAGAGTGATTATCAGCAAATTATTGTAAGGGCTGCTGCCCTAGCCACCCCCCCCCCCCCTTTGCTACGGCCCTGAGAAGTAATAAACCGAAAAAAACATTTACCGATATACGATTTGTTAAATGTTATCCATGTAAATGCTGTGATTTCGTAAATCAGTTTATAACTTATACTCTGATCACAATACCATTTTATAATATTTTCTGTCTAAACAACTGAAATTTTGTTATACTATTATTGCCGTAATTTTCCGAATGGCGAACCCGATTTTCCGAATATGTTAATTTTACAAAAGTTGGGGGGGGTTAACCCCCCCCCCCAATACCCCCCTCGCTACGGCCCTGAATGTAGCTCACTTTGTTATAACCTAGACAATCACGTACAACAATCACGTACAAACATTCTTTTTCATTTTGACACATCTTCGTTTTTCTTACTATTTTCCCCAGGGATTATTCTAAGGTGCAGTGATAACCAATTTGTGCAGTGATAAATGTGATTTGTGCAGTGATAAATTAGATTATGTGCAGTGATAAAATGCGATATTGTTCAGTACCAGAAATTGGTGACAAAATGGCCACTTTGCATATAATCCACATACAATGGCTTTCAATTTTTACTGGGAATATACAGGGTTAAAGTACTTTATAACTCAAAATTATTGCAATCTGAGAGCTCGGCTACTGTTTGCCGACCTTTTGATCAATAAAGCATTCATTTAGAAATGTTCGGTGGCATATTTATTCCGATCGGGTACACTTTCCTAGCGACCAAGTCGTGTTCAAGAAAATCACTTTTTGTTTTGAGATTTTTGACGCTGTTTTGTGACACAATCAACAGTTTATAATTAATCTATTTCACGAGTATGAAAGACTAGATCTTGAGCAATATTGCTTGGTGTTTTGCATGCGATTCAAAAAATATTTGAAATGTGTATATCTTTGCATGAAATAGAATATGCAGAATGCAGATTTAGGCTCATTAGCAGTGACTTTGTGTCATTTGCCTGCATATACTGAAATTCGTGACATGCAAGTCGCAGAACCAGAATACATGCACTCACGCAGGGCAGTCAGAACGTTTTCTAAAATGTCGCTAAATTGATATAAATTTTATCATTTTTCGCGCTTTTGTGCAGTAATAAAATTTCCTTAGAATAATCCCTGATTCCCCCCCCCCCCCATTGACAATGTTGGGTGAATGTTTTCAGCCAACGTTGTGGTTTAGTATCATGAAAACAACATTGTTTTGGGGGGGAAGTGGGGGGGGGGAGAATATGATGTCTCAATAATTTTTGCTCCTGACTGTAGGATTCTGAGACAACCGAGTCGACCACCGAAGGTGCGAGCCTCTAGAGGGATCTGGGGGCATGCCCCCTCCCAGAAAATCTTGGATTCTTTGAAGCTCAGGTAAGCTATTTCCAGCATTTCGAGGAGTTTTCTAACAAGAAATTAACCTTATAAACAGTGACACAATTACTGCAATTTCACAGTCTCCCAAATGTAATTCAGTCCCAATAAGACAACATGGTGTGATGATGCGGTAATGAAAATGTGCGTGGTATAGCATTAGTATCATTCACCACACTTCAAATATTAATTCTACAGCACTGTACTACATGTATTGGAGTATTAGAAATCGACACATTCGTCTTCTCAGTGTCACTACTGAAGAGCACGATATAGGTGGCCTCTTTGGAGTATCTTTGCTTGGGAAAACTAAACTAGAATTTCGTCCTAAAATGCCATTTCATGCCTTGTCCCACGAGCAAATTATTTCAGTCATGGTTTAAGTTTCTGGCGAAGTTTAAATTTCAGTCCCCAGATTCCTACCGAGGCAACTGCTCGGTTGACTCATAGCTATAGTTACGGGCCTGCAGATGATGGTAAAATTCAGAATTGTTAACTTGACAACTTAACATTTTTATCTCACTTTGATACATAATTGCTGGTTGACCACCTACTGCAGGTAGTTGTTAGAGACCTCACTGGGGGAGGGACAAAATTGCCGACTGGAGAGGCCAGTAAGAAGGCTGGGGGACATGCCCTCACTGGAGGGGGAGGAACAAAATTGCCGACTAGAGGGGCCAGTAAGAGGGCTGGGGGTGACATGTTCCCCCAGTCTATATGTTAAAAGAGCCCCTGATCTAGTTTATTCAATAGATCTTTATATTAAGATCTTGGGAAGCACAGACAATGAAATCCGTTACCCTAATACCGGTGGACTACTAACAAGAGCCTGAATATTGGTTTTTCAAATTCGTAGCTGTCTCAATTGAGATATTTATGGAGAGCTTAAAGAGTACGGCAAACGGAAAGGCCAAGTTTATAGTCCCCGAGCCGACGGCGCGAAGCGCCGTGCGAGGGTACTAATTCCCCCCGGCTATTTACACCCGGGGAAACGAAAGCATTAGCGGAGTCTAAAGTTCATCAAATATCGCGGGCGTGGGTCACCAACGGTGTTGGGTGGGTGGTCATCCTCACTGATCTCAAAAATATGGCGGATTGTCACGAATAGCGGACACTGATTGGTCCTATTTAAAGTTTGCATTATAACGACTGCATGACGACAGCGAAATAGCAAACATTTCTTGAGTTAATTTGATGATTGATAATTTTTTTGCAAATATATTTCATTTTTGCTCGCATTTTTGCAAGATTTTGTAAATTTCAAAAGCTCTCTGAGAAAGGAACTGCGAAAGAATCGGCTAAAAGAAGGGAGCCGACTTTTTAACGAAGGTAAGTTTGTTTTAAATATTGATTTTGTAGTGGATTTAAAACCTGACGGCCGAGCTGACGGCCTTTGCGTATATGAAACAACTAAACAAGACAGCATATAATTTCAGTGTATCTTTAATATTGATTTCCTTTTTTATGATGTTGAATGTTTTAAATAAATAAGAAAGCGAAGTTATTTGCAATCGATAAAGCCATTTTAAATGGCAGTTTAGTTTTATATTAAAGAACACTGACTTTAAAACGCTTTGCGAAGCGTTTGTGGTTGAATTTTACCTTAAATCGAGGCTTATATTACGTATAATAACATACCTAACATATATATGTTGGGAAATTAATAATTTTGTGATTAAAAGTGATATTTTTTAGGCGATTTTTCATTTGTAAGAATATTCTTAAAAAATTATCGTGTTACCATGGCAACTACTTCAGATACTTCATCAGTTCGGAAAATACAATGGTTTTGTCTGTTTGTCAGCAAGGCGAGGGTTTTTGCATGCATGTATTTTCTAGTTCATAGTAGACTATGAGTATGATGAGTAAACAAATTGGCCCCCATTTCGCCAACCAGTTTGGGTAAAAACGGTCATTTTCAAAATGATGACGTCATATACAAGAAAGAAAACACAAATTCGAGAAATTTTGAAATTTGGCAGTGTGATCAGTTAAACACTCATTAGTTGAGAAAAAAAATATATTACACATATAACTTCAATGTTTTCGTTGAAACGTTATAGCTAATAGAAGTTTTTAAAAATATGCTGACTAAGCATTTTTTTAAATTGGTTTACCACTCTAAACATCAACACAACACCATTTCAAGTTTTTGTCACTACATCTCTGTATTTAGTGATAGATGTTGTTGTATCTAATGAATTGCTCACAATGTCATGCATAAAAAAGTATGCCCAAGGCATCCAACAGAATCATTGCGGTCGTAAAAATTGTGGTTGAGATGCAGGCGTTTTGTTTTTTAAATCTAATATGAATATATAAGTAATTAAGGTTCTAATTAACATTGTCAATATCAAGTCCTTCATCATTTTCATATGCATCTTCGTCATCAAAGTCAATGAAAATTGAATCATCCCTCTCAGACCTATCTTGGTTTTTGCAACTATCCGAACATTTACACAATGCAGTGCAATTCAGGTTTGTTTTCTTACACATGAGCACCGAGCAGCAGCCTGTTTTGCAGGAACAGTTCATGATCTCCAACACGCTATCCGGTGCCACTGGAAGAGTCATCCACTTGATGCATACCTGCCCATTTTCGATGTGCCAGCCATGTCCATCTGGTCTTCCTGCAGTTATAATTTGCACCATACATCGACGTCTGACATAGCTTTCGTAGTTCGCACGATCTATATGCTGCACTAAGCTGTCTGAAGTGGGTGGAAGTGTTTTTTTCAGTGCAATTTCCCATTCTAAAAAGGTTATGTCGAGCATTATCCACATCAATCTCATTTTCTTGTCCGTATAAGTGACAAACAAATTTTTGTAGATATGAGATTGTGCCCTGGTCAACTGTCATTTGTTTGCCCAGATCTTGAAAGGCACGAACATACTCGACTTTACTGCGTGCCGCTTTGAGGCATGTCGCCTTTCATTTTCCAGTAAAAGAAGACGTTGAATCAGATCCTGAAAGGGGAATTGATAAAATATTGTTATATCTGAATGGTTGGATGTAAAAAAGCTCACAATTTGACCAGAGTGTGAGAGGCGATAAAAGTTGTAACCTCTGCGCGCGTTTGAACGTCAACTCATAATCATAATCTACTGCAACGAGATAAGTGAATTTTCTGCAATTTTGAAAATATTGCTCATGTGCCTAGAAAATTTCACTTACTGCAGTATTATCAGTATTAATTAATGTATTGTGTATTACAGTACCTTTTCTTCAACAGACGGTATAGCAGTATTCATTTCAGGCTGTATTATGATTCCATTTGCTATGTGAGTGGTGTCTTTACCTGACCTGGTTTCTTCGCCAAAATCAATATTGTCCCAAACAAGTGTTGTATGAACACCTTCTCTTATTCCTGATGGGATAGAAAAATCATTTTTAAGGTTAAGCAATGCCAGAGCTGGTTCATATGATAAGGCCACAGAGTGTGATGCACAGTAACCAAACCCACTGAGAATTTCGGTTAGAGCTTGAGACCCAGTTATCTGACGAGTAGTCATTGTTAATGCCAGTGATTTAGGTGTTTGCTTTCTTCCTCCAGAACCAACAAAGATACAGTCTTGGATTATGGCAAGCACCTTTAAAGAAGAAAATTTTATTCAATGCGGCTTACATACATGTCAGAAACCTAGTGTAGGTTTACTATTTTTCATTATGGGCATCTTACCTTTGCTTTATTCTTTCTGGATAGAGTAACATATGATGATATTTGGGGGTCATCTGACATTCCCAACATCCAAGCAAAGAAGTTGTACAGTCTTGGTGGTATCATCTTCTCAACAGATGAAAAATTTATCTCGACTGATAATGGTGGCCAGACTGAATCAAATTCAGGACCATCTTGTACTAAATGCCTTAATTCAAGAGCTGTGTCATAAAAGAAATTAAATTGTATTCTCTGTTCATCTTGCTCAGGGTCAGGGAATTTATTATCACAAGAATCTTGAAATTTTTCAGTTGAATTGTATAAGTCAAGATCATTTTTCATTTGCACATGACTTTCTGCAATGTCACCAGATGACAGATCCTCCACAAGGACAATTTCACTGGTATTTTGTCTTCGAGGTTGATGAAAAATTAACTGGGGAAATCTATGTTTAAGTCTATCTTTCAATCTTGCTTTTTTGTACGAAGATGCATCTTCCTTTTCAACATCATGAACCATTGTACAAACACTTTAAACAAATCATTCATAAACTTGGTTTTTTTGTCTAGTATGATTTTCTGTTCCACATATTTCTCACAAAATGCATCAAAGGAATCTTTATATAGTACCCTGCTTCAACCATCTGTCTTACTGTTATAAAATACAGGGTTGGTGTATACCTTGAAACATTTATCTTGATATCTGACCTCAATTACCGAACAGTCCAAGTCTCTAATATGAACCAACAAATGTTCATAATTTCTTCTAAGAGCTGTTTCTCTGAATCTCCCAGCAGTAGCTGTTTCGGCCTTTCGCAGTGGCAGTAATGTTGTTTTTAGTGTTGTTTGAAAGTAGGATTTAATAATCTGATATAAGCTGATAAGCATTAGTGGATTAGTTACCTGATGGAAACCTTTGGCTCTAGGCTCACAGCATACACATATTATACAGCAGTACAGTACAACTGTGAACATAAACAGGAGAAATATTGAACATAAAAAACGAAATAAACATCAATATTTAAACACTTACTTCACATTTTCCCCATGCTGTTGACTTTTTGCATATTATGGATTTGGCAGGCAAAATGTTTCTCCTGCATCTGGAACTACCAATAACTGTGCCTTGTAACAAATCATCCTGTTTTTCCTGACTAGGACACGGGACACCTTTGGGATACACGAATGTATTTGCCTATTTGGCAGCTGGTTCACAGTTCACTAACTAAACTTCACTTTCCATATCGCTCTCTGATGCTGGTTGTATTTCGTTCTTGGGATTCCTTTCAGTATTCTCCAACTTTGATATGTTCGCCACTTTACGATAACATTCCATATGGTAATATTACATAGCCATTGGCAAAACTTTCTTTCTCGCCTTCATTCGAGATTTGAGTAAACTGATAACTGATTTTCATAATTTTCGGATATTATTTGGTACGAGTTGTGACACACGTCGCCAACATTATTACTCAAATTTATCCATCTTCTTCTTAAGGTAATAAGCTTTTCAAATGTTTTATTGTTAAAGCTTTTTAATTGTTCATCTTTGCTCCCAACGAAGTGCACAGCACATTCTTTGCTTGTTATGGCAGCCATATTGTATTGTCCTATAAAATAACATTGGCCAAGATATGCCAAACCGGAAGCTTTGGCTGCAAAAAGTGGATTTTGCTGAATGTTATGAATTGCGATCAAGGACAAGTAAACAAAATGGCGGACAACTGAGAGCGATAAAATACGATTTTGGATCGCTGATTTTTAAGGAAACTGGTTGGTTAGCACGGGGCCACTTTTTAGAATTTTGTTTGTGCGGTGCAAAACAGCACTTTGGCGTAAAAAATATGTATTCTTTAAATGTGTCCAGCGAAACTAAACGATATCGGACCATAGCCGGCGGCCTAATGGTTTTGTCAGCAAGGCGAGGGTTTCTGCATGCATGTATTTTCTAGTAGACTATTTTATCCCCGAGCCGACGGCGCGAAGCGCCGTGCGAGGGTACTAATTCCCCCCGGCTATTTACACCCGAGGAAACGAAAGCATTAGCGAAGTCTAAAGTTCATCAAATATCGCGGGCGTGGCTCACCAACGATGTTTCGGTGGGTGGTCATCCTCACTGATCTCAAAATATGTGGCGGACTGTCATGAATAGCGAAAACTGATTGGTCCAATTTAAAGTTTGCATTATAACGACTGCATGACGACAGCGAAATAGCAAACATTTGACACAGTGCTCTCACTTTTAAGGAATTATCCTTAAAAATAGGAATTTTGAAGAGTTTTAAGGATTTTTTTAAGGAATTTAGGTTTTTGAGGATTTTTTTAAGGAATTTCCGAAACATTTTATCTTGGACTGGAAATGTTGGACGGAGGATAACACGCCACGCAAATGAGATTTAAACTTGAAATTAACAACATTATACGCACATATTTACATACATATGGCTGTCTTGCCATTAAAATTCTCAAAAGTTAAATGTCAGTATATTATGCTGTTTCTTCTGAAATCTACATATTTTCTAAACTGTTCATGCAGCAACGATAAAAAATACATCATGTTGAATGTTTTCTTTATCGCATATGCTAACAATCAAATGTTTTCAGATTTTAGTGCTTGGAAGCAAGGTTGAAAACTGAAAAAAAAGAGAAAAAAAAAACACTTTTTGCAACTATGTGATCAGGCCTTGTAGTAATTTTACCAATTTAAGGAATTTTAAGGAATTCTGAGGAATTTTCGAGCTTTTTCTAAGGAATTCGAAAATTTGATTGTGAGAGCACTGATTTGACATTTCTTGATTTGATGATTGATAAATTTCTTGCAAATATCACAAATATATTTCATTTTCGCTCGCATTTTTGCAAGATTTTGTAAATTTCAAGAAAGAAAGGGCGAAAGAATCGGCTAAAAGAAGTGAGCCGACGTTAACGAAGGTAAGTTTGTTTTAAATATTGATTTTATAATGGTTTAATTTAAAACCCGACGGCCTTTGCGTATATGAAACAACTAAACAAGACAGCATATAATTTCAGTGTATCTTTAAATATTGATTCCCTTTTTATTATATTGAATTTTTAAATAAAAAATAAAGCAGAGTTATTTGCAAGCGAGAATTTGAAGTCATTTTATTGTAAACTCAAAGTTTATCGATAAAGCCATTTTAAAAGGCAGTTTAGTTTTATAAAGAACACTTTAAAACGTTTTGTGAATTGTTTGTGGTTGAATTTTACCTTAAATTGAAGCTTGTATTACGTATAATTATATACCTAACATATATATGTTGGGAAATTGATAATTTTGTAATTAAAAGTGATATTTTTAGGCGATTTTTATTTGTATAAGAATATTCTTAAAAAATTATCGTGTTACCATGACAACTACTTTAGATACTTCATGTTCGGAAAATACAACGGTTTTGTCAGCAAGGCGAGGGTTTCTGCATGCATGTATTTTCTAGTTATAATTTATTACACCCACTATATCTGGGTGTTGAAAGTCATGTGACCGGCCGGTGCCAGGGCCTTTTCCCGCCTTCCCAATGACAAAAGGGAAAAGCCCTGGGAACGAGGTTGTACTTAAATTAATAGCTCTACGCCTAGGCCGATGTGGTCTCTACAAGATTCGCACGCCACCCAGTTTTTCAGTTTCAGAATACCCCCGAATACTTGAAAATTGCGACTATACGATAAAATAAAACAAAGATTGTGAAGGGGATAAAATTTGTAGGCAAGCATTCGGCTCCTGAAAGGCAAGTGTTGGTGTCCGACGAAACAAGCGAATCCGTATACTCCTGTACAGCGTAAACAGCTTACGCGAGGTTTATATTTGTTTATTTATATTGAACTAAGTCAGATCTATAAGAGCATATTTAAACTAAATATTAATTATAGCAATAGCCGTATTGTTCAAGACGAGAGAAAGGAAATTTCGTGTGAATCACCACTTGCATGGAGACGCCTAGATGCAGCTTCGATGCAGTTTGCCTGTAGTTGAAAATCTCCAGAAATATCGGTATATCTTAGAAAACATAGACGGGATCTTCATAGATTTTAGCTGATTCGTGCCAAACTTCGCTCTACACATAAATAATATCGATTGAGATGTCCTTTGGCTATTTATTTGTTTCGAAGATTTCATTAAAGAATATCTCGCCACTCCTTGACGAGTAGCTGTCAAATACTGCCAAATTTTGTCGTTACGTGACCGGCCCGGACCAGGGCTTCCTCGTGTCTCGCCTCGTCCTCACACTGAAGCCCTGGGAACGAGGTTGGTAACAGTAGGGACAAGGAAAACTTTTTATCTTTCCCGGGTGAACACACTCGCCAATAATTCAATCTTAGGGTTCAATGATTCAATCTTACGATTCAATGATTCAATCTTAGAATTCGATGATTCTATTTTTGGATTCAATGATTCAATCTCAGCATACAAAGATTCAGATCCAGGATTCAATGATTCAACCTTATGATTCAATGATTCAATCTTATGACTCAATGATTCAATCTTATAATTCAATTATTCAATCTTAGGATTCAATGATTCAATCTTATGATTCAATGATTCAATCTTATGATTCAATCTTATGATTCAATTATTCAATCTTAGGTTTCAAGGATTCAATCTTAGTACTCAATTATTCAAAAGATAAGGAAGATAAAAATAATGACAAGAAGATAAAGATAACGAAAATAAAGATAACGAAGATAAGGATAAGGAAGATAGGAAGATAATGATAAGGAAGATAAGAAGATAAAGATAAGGAAGATAAAGACAAGGATAAGAAAGATGAGAAGATAAAGATAAGGATAAGGAAGATAAAGAATAGGAAGATAAGAAGATAAGGAAAAGGAAGATGAGAAGATAAAGATAAGGAATATAAGAAGATAAAGATAAGGAATATAAGAAGATAAGCATAAGGAAAATATGAAGATAAAGATAAGGATAAGAAGATAAAGATAAGGAAGATAAAGATAAGGAAGATAAAGATAATGATAAGGAAGATAAAGATAAGGATAAGGAAGATAAAGATAAGGATAAGGAAGATAAGAAGATAAAGATAAGGAAGATAAGAAGATAAAGATAAGGATAGGGAAGATAAGAAGATAAAGATAATCAAGATAAGAAGATAAAGATAAGGATGAATCTATCCAGTCTTCTTCCTCGGAGCTGAGTTCCATTAAGGCCCGGAGCCAGCTCCATAGAAGGGGAGCTAAACTTTGTGGCAATTTTTGCCCTCAAAACCATTCGCCCGATTTAAGGACTGCGCCAGCATAATAAATAATCCCTATCTATCCATAATAAACACTTAAGAAATTAAACTTTGGTTAATGAGTGTTAATGACTTTGGCGGCATACGTTTTAGATAGCTACAAACAACAAAATTTCGATATATCCTGCATATAATCTGTAATAACTCTCTGTTCGTTGGTATTTTCTTTCCTGTCTCAAGCTCGCTGGGTGAAATAAAAAAAATTGTATATATCCACACAGAGTGGGCGGGTTAATCACTTTTTAATGACTCT